TTCCTGTTTCAGTGCTGTTCATAACGCTTTCCAGGACTTATCTTTGGGATTGGTCTCAGTCTAACACAAGCCAAGTGTTAGACTAACCTCTTCAATACTCTGCTCTCCATTTCTGGCTCCAAAGACCGCCTCTTCTCATTCAGAAGAACCGATAAAGAATCTCCAGAATCAGTGTAATTGCCAAATTCTGAGTAATCACCTGTGAAAACAAACAGGCTTGTGAATTGCCTTACATCTGCTTCAGAAAGGTATGAATGGCTTCAAAAACAGAGCAGCATATAGTTGTAGGAGGATACCATTGCATTAGTTTTTGGGAAGCTTTTCACCCGTCCCTGCACACCCAGTCCAAAGATCTGTGACTTTTTTTACTTTATGACTGTATCTTATCTCTTGTGCCCTAGGATCATAGAACTGTTTCAGCTGGAGAAGACCTTTCAGGTCATCAAGTCCAACTATGAGCCCAGCACTGCCAAGTCCACCACTAAACCATGACCCTCAGCACCTCATCTATGCACCTTTTAAATACCTCCAGGGAGGGTGACTCCACTACTTCCTTGGGCAACCTGTTCCAGTGCTTGACAACACTTGGTGAAGGAATATTTCCTAATATCTAGACAAAACCTCCCTTGGTGCAATTGGAGGCCATTTCTTCCTGTCCTATCGCTTGTTACTTGAGGGAAGAGACTGACCTCCACCTTGCTACAGTCTCCTTTCAGGTAGTTGTAGTGAGTGATCAGGTCTCCCTTGAGCCGCCTTTTCTCCAGTTCCCTCAGCAACCCCAGTTGTTGAACCACCCCAGTTCCCTCAGCTGCTTCTCTTAAGACTTGTTCTCTAAACCCTTCACCAGCTTTCTTGCCCTTCTCTGGACATGTTCCAGAGCCTCTGTGTCTTTCCTGTAGTGAGGGGTTCAAAACGGAACACCTGGTCATGTCTATATTTCAGTCTAAAAGTTTGAGCTTCTGGCAGTTTTCTGGCAATAACAATTCAGTTTATTACTAGTGTACACATTGGGGTGATTGAGGCTTTCTGGAGACCCCCAGGTTAGAAATATGTAAAGAAATCACTGGCTAGTGAAGACCAGACTCTTTATCGGTGGTTAGCACAATACAAATGTTAAATAACCACCATGAAAAATAATACCCTTGTGCTTCCTATTTGTGTTTGTTTCTAATTTCCTTTCTCAGAGGTTACAGCTGTCATGTTCCTGTTTCCTTTGCGAGAACCCAACTGGTTATGAGTCTCCCATAGACGGGACCACTGTTCGGATTTGGATGTTGTATTGGGGAGTTTCAAGCTGTGGTGAGATGCTACTAGCTGTTTGGTTGCCAGTCTCTTTTAGTGAGATCTAATTCTGATGCGAGACGTTTCCTTTCTGTGTGTCAATCCTAGCCTGGTTGTATTCATCACATGCTTGATGGGTGCCCTGCCTCTGGTTGTGGTGCACCTGTTGGAACATCTGTTCTGTCTTGGAGTTCAGAGTAGCTTTGTAGAGGCCCACATCTTTACCAACAGTCAGGTTAGATACTCAACTTGGAAATTTTTTTTCAGTGGCCAAATATTTTTCCATTCCAAGTTGGTCCCTCACGTAAGGTCAGAGAGTGCACTTGGATTCCCACGGATGGGGTGTTCTGGAATAGCAATGGTGGGAAAGACAAGCAGGCATTGCTGTCCAGGAAGCTCAGTATTTTGCGTAACTGAGAGTATTTAAGTATCTCAGTGCTAATTATTATTATTTAGGCCTCACAGCTTGTTGGGGCAGTTGCGAAATGACTCTTGGCAAGTTGTGTCAGTCGTTGTGCGTAGGAGTGGCTGCAGGTGCAGGTGTGGAACGACTCCTGCAGGTAGTTCTTGCAGTGCCCTTAGCCTTTGTACGGCCGTGGTGCATTCCCAGGTAAATGCAGTAAGTGTGGCCGTCACATCAAACGCTATAGAAAGCTCAAAGACCATAAAATTACTCCCACAAAGTATTTTTATTACATGGTATACTTCCAGAATATTGAAATTATTAAGGAAAAGCTACTGTGTTCTAACTGGAAAAGTATTAGCATAAGCACATGCTCTGTTATTATAAAGAAAATCAAGCTATACAGAATAACATAATTTGGGAGCTACAACCTGTCTAGCATCCTTAGGCTGCACTACTGCATTTCCTTTCTTGTGCATCTTAATCTTGAAAAACAAACTGCAGAACAAAATTTTTCCATGTTCTGATCCTGAATCTTTTAAAAGAGGAACTTGATTACAGTGTCTTGTCTTACAAAGTGCTTGTGCAGCTATTTGTTCTCCAGCTCATTACGCTTCTTTGTTTCTCATTTTAAAATATTTTTAAACCCCGTTGCATTTCTACATGAGTGTTTAGACTTAATGTATTCTTCAGAAATTGAGAAAAATGTTCTCTCCTTTATTGCACTGTGGTACTTAAATTACACTGGGGTATTGTCACAGCATATTTTGCTGGTAAAGTGGATCCACCTTCAAGATATCTAGATCTTACGCCAGGTGCTGATGAAATTCTTTAGAAGTCCTGGACGTCTTTCTCTCACCAGTATGCCTAGAAGACTTAGACTGATGTAGCACAGCAGCTAATCCTGCAGAAGATATTTGAATCTCTCACTCGTTTTTAAAAGAAGTTCCTCAGCTTGCTAAAAAGCAATTTTCTGTGGCTTGAATTACCTGATCTCAGGATTCTTTCTTACTCTGTGTACTGTAGAAACCGGTTGCAGATCCCTGAGCAAACAGAGCTCTGAAAAACAAAACCAACAAGATAGCTGAAGGTTTTCTAGTGCTTATCTAATAATCTGTATCATTTCTGCCAAAACTTTCTAAAAAAACTCCGAACAAATAAAATGAGGAAAACTTCAAGAAGGTAAAAATCTGGAATAAGTAATTAAAAATTGAATTATAAAGTGTACTGAATACTAAGATACTGGCATCGAATATACTTATTGAATGTAATCATGCCCAGTTTGCTGGTTTACTTTGGGTGAAACCCTCTAATTTTAGGGTTCCTCATTTCAGTATCTTTTATTTGTTTTGGATTTATTCTCTTCCATTGAGTCATCTTCTAGAGCATTCAAATGAAATTTTAGGAGTTGGATTTTTACCTTGGCTACAGTAAACCCCAGGTGTTAACCAGAGTCTTCTTTCTTCTTCAGACTTAGCCACAGAGTCTTGTTTGCTGACTGAGCAGCTCCATTCCCTACCCTCAGCCCAAGCGATGTGAGAGTAGCTGATGCTGCACGGTACCGAGGTGGTGTCGGGAGCCAGCCTGAATTCCCCCTGTCTCTAGTTTCAGAGTGGCTGCGGTTGTTGCCTTTCCTGGGCGTGCTGGCCTTGCTCGGTTACCTCGCTGTTCGTCCGTTCCTCCCCAAGAAGAAACAGCAAAAGGATAGCTTGATTAACCTCAAGATCCAGAAGGAAAATCCAAAAGTAGTGAATGAAATAAACATTGAAGATCTGTGCCTCACTAAAGCTTACTGCAGGTGTTGGCGTTCTAAGACGGTAAGAGGCGTTGTGCTGCTGTGGGGATTAGTGACTGAAACTTGAGCATTTTCATCAGCGCTTCGGTGGTGAATTGCTGCATGTTGACCTGTTTCTTTTTCTGGAGGTGGAACAGGTTCCTGGTTTTTGAGAATGACACAGTCCACTGTAAACCTATCTACTTGCAGAAGGAAACTGTAGAAACTTGTAAGAAACACAGCAGAGTTTTTCTAGAAACACAGAGTGAGCTGGCTGTGAGCAGATGAAAACCAAGCAAGCCTTGTTTAATACTTGGAAATGCATTGCAGCTAATTACAAGATAACTACTGTTTTGCAAAAACAATGCTTAGAATGTTGTTCATATTAGAATGAAAGTAAGGCTGGATTGTGCTGGTGAGGGAGAGCGTGTCCCCATCTGGTCCAAAGCAGCCAGTAGAGGACTGGTTTGGATAGTCAAATCAACTAGATGCACATGAGTATTTTTCATCTACCCTCAATTTCTTCTGAACGTCCTGACTGAACTCTTGTTTGGTCCTGTCAAATGCTTTCCTGTTTTAACAAAAAAATCTGCCTTGGACCTAAGAAACCCTCTGAATTATTCTCCCTTCACACCAATCACTGCAGCAAAGTATTTCGGCTTTTCTTAAAACCGTACTTTCTGGTTGCCTATGATTACATCTATTAAGACCATTTCTAGTAGTTCCACTGTAACTACTAGTAGTTAGACCATCTGTGGCTGCGATGGCTTCTTTGCTTGCTCCTTTCATGGCAAAGGCTTTGTCCCTAACTTTGTGTCTAAGGACACCTATTTTAGGACCTCACAAACTTAGTTACCTGTTCACGGTGGGTTTTTTCCCTTAGTAACAGATGTCCTGTGTCTGATAGGAGACAGAGCATTTAATGCTGAAATGGGACATAGTAGCAAGATCACTGAAGTGTTCTTGCTGTAAGAAGTATAAAAATCACCATGTAATTGCTCTACAGTGTTATACTAACTCCTCATGTATGTTTTCTTCCAGTTCCCTGTCTGCGATGGCTCCCACAACAAGCACAATGAATTAACAGGAGATAATGTAGGTCCACTAATACTCAAGAAGAAAGAAGTATAGTAGATACTTAATCCACTAGATCACGACTGGTAAAAAGTCTTTTTATACTGTTGTAGTTGCAAGAGGCAGCATTTTATTATGTAATTGGTATGATTTAGTTTAATGATTGCTGTAGATTTCTTTTGGGAATAAACAGCATTTAGTGCTAAATCTGTTACTGTTTTGATACTTTATCTTGAGAAGAATTGTCTGCTTTGTAAAACTGTAAAGTAACTATCTCTGTAAATAAGTCATTTATTTCAACAATAAAATGACTTCCTACAACTGAGCCTTTTTTGAGTGAACGTGCCATTATCACTGCTGTTATTTCCAAGTGACAGAAGTGCACCTTTATGTTGATTTTGTTGTGCTGAGAAGCGATGCTTTATTTTGCTTTTTGGGAACAAACGTAAGCACACTTCAGCGAAGGGGAGACAGACACCAAGTCACCCCTTGTGAGGGGTACAGCTGGGTGTACTGCTGAGAGCAGGCAGCACGGGGATGTTCAGTCACTCCAGGTGCAGCTCAGGCCCCTCTGGTGCCTGAGCAGGCAGTTTGCTACTCCCATGCAAAGCAGCCTGGCTCACACAAACCCCACACAGCTGGGGAGACTCGTACAGCAGCTCCAGAACATACAAACAAAGCTATTGAGCAGATCAGTTGCTAATGCTAATGTTGTTGCTTTATTTCAGGCCTCTGTGCTGATTGTTCATGGGTTCTTGCAAGGAAACACAAATATGCTGCTTTCAAGTTCAGCAGTGCTGTAGCTGCATCTTTTTGTAGCGAGGACTTTCATGGGAGGAACTGGTGGATGACAGAACCAAGAAAGAGCTGAATTGTATTCTTGGCTTGCTACCCAATTTATTTATTACTCATTATTTGGGCAAGTCAGAACTTTGCTGTGGCATGGCTTAATTTCAGATGTAGGTAAATAGTTGCTACTTACCTAACTGTTAGATTTATAATTATTTCTTCTAAAGTGCTTTATTATCAATGAAAGACTGTCTTCAACAATTTAAAAATAAGAATTTGAACCATACCCAATTTTAGACAGTTGTATTAGGGCAGATTTCAGGGTTGCTTAACAGCATTTCATTTGACCCATTGTTAAGCAGGTGGGAAGCCACAGCACTGAAACAGAAAGCCAAGTGAGAAAGCAGTTCTCACAGAATGGCTCTTGCAGCATGAGTTGAACTAAGGTAGATATCCCTCCTGCATTTTTAACAGCTGTAGTTTTAGGTACCTAAACCTCCTGCCTTGCAGCAAAAGCTAGCAGATCAGGATGTGTTTGTACGTTAAATGCCTGCTTTTACAAAGCGCGTAATGGTACAATCTTAAAACATTTAACTGCTTTATGGTGGCCTTACCTTAATGGATGAGCAAACTAACCATTATGATAGGATAGAACATATATAAAAGAGATTAATGTTCAATAATGCCATAATCCATAATGTTACTAAGTGTCTTAGACTTGGCCTTCACTTACAGGTGGTGCAGTGCATTGAACGCCAAGCACCAGTTCTCGGGCTTGGTGCAGATACTACTATGTGAAGTGCATAAGCCTGTATTTTTTTTAATTTTTTTCAGGCTTTAAAATCCACACCCTTTTGTAGCAGGCTGTTATTATATACAAGACTGTGGGCACTTCCAGCCTCTATGGGGATACTTTTGCATCCAAATTGTTTTTTTTCAGGCTTTAAAATCCACAGCCTTTTGTAGCAGGCTGTTATATACAAGACTGTGTGCACTTCCAGCCTTTATGGGGATACTTTTGCATCCAAATTGTTCCTTCTGAAGATTTCCTCTGAAGTCTGAGAAGTACAATTCCATATATCAATCCTATTTTTCCCTTCCATTGCTCTACTCAGATAAGCCCTGTTAGAGTAAGCAATACAGCAAAACTGGGCTTGTTTCTCTCACAAAGCTTCTCCAAAAGGAGAATGACAGTATAAAGGTTAGTCTCTGGACTCCATCTGTAGTATGGCTAGGTTATGTAATTAATTTTTAAAATGTTTTTTTTGTTAGATGGGTGTTTTCCACAGCCACATTTGTATATAGTTTAGCAGCAAACAGGTGTGGAGGTGTGGTTTTGTCTTGCTTATGTCTATAGGGGAATGGAACGCATTTGTGGTATGGGCCTGCAATAGCAGCACTCAGTCACAGTTCCTTTGTAGAAAGGATATTTTAGTAATTTCCACAAGATAATAATAACAATAAAATGAAGATCCCAAGCAAGATAAATGACTGTTTCCTTGCATTTCAGAATCTGTCAAGGTAGTGCTCTCTTTTGTGGCCACAGAGAATTTTCTGTAGAAAATCTCAAAAGAATTTACTAACCTGTTCAAAATAACTATCTTTGTTCTACAGGGATAGACAACTAAGAACTTAAGTGTCTGCAGAGTCCTGTAGCTCACCAGGGATTGAGAGAGTTGAACCAATAATCTGCTAGGATGTGCTTGGTCATGTCTTGCCACTGCATGACTTTTCTAACCTCATTTGGAAGCTCCATACAAAGGGATAACATGGCCCTGACCACTCATAAGGACCAGGACTGAGGCAGCAGGCCAGGCCTCCACAGCCTGCACGCAAAATCAGGGGAAGCTGAAGGTGGCATGTCCTGACATGCCTTTATTTTACTCTACGAGAACAGTAATATTTACCTTTCTTTTGCTTATGACTTTGAACAATAGTTACAATAGACTACAAACAAACTTGTGAAACTTGTAAATGTTTAGAGAAAAGTGTCTGACTTGTGGTAACTACTAGACAGATATAACTGAAGTGCAGCTGGCACAAAATTTGATCTCTCACACTTCATTTACATAAAAAGCAAAACCTGTATCATTCAGTTTTCTGGCTGTGTTACACCCTAAGTGTTTCAGAGTTTATTTTAGACTTCAGTCTAAATTCCCTGAAATGCTCAGTTTGGCTGAAGAGAGAGAAAGCAGGGACTATAATGACATTTTCACTGCATCATCCCCTGGTCTGTGTGGCTCTGCTTCCAGATGGCTGATTTCTGTCTTTGCCCAGCCTGCTGTAACTGCCCACTGTTGGGTGCCAGGAAGGTGCTGTGCTCTCAGAGCCTTCTGCTGCAGAGGTTCTTGTGAACCTTCTAGAACTCCACACCCATACTGTGCTCAGTACTCTTCACACTGTGCCTGTGGTCATGTCTGCATGACAGCGGGACTCCTCTGGTTATAGTTTTTGTTTCCCACAGATAGGAGACTGGAATTGCATGAAGATTTTTTTTTTTGCTTGAATTTATGCAATATTTATGAAAGATTTCATGGCATTTTGTTAAAAGGGAAGTGGTATTAAATGCCATGACCTCACCTGCAGAAACTCTCTTTCAAAGTTAACTGCTATTTAAAATCAGCTGAAATTGTCATGAGAATTATTTAAAAAACCCAGTCTCCTAGGTTCTTAGCCCAGCTATAACATTGCTTTTCACAACAAGATGCAAGTGTTTTGTTCCTTTCTGGAAGGCAAGGAGAGGAGCATTATAAAGCATTACTGTTTTTCATTTTAGATCTGCAGGTCTATTTGATAGCTTCAACCTGATTCTTCTTGAAGATTTAATAAAAGCTGGGGTAAATGAGTCTTATGAGAAACATCCACATATGGTGGCAAGGAAAGAAAAATTGATTCAATTTTGTTTAGAGAAGGAAATGACTTTTCACTGGTATAGCTATTCAAGTGCTCAGAATGGTGGGATTGAGCTCATGAATAAATTGAGAGTGCGCTGAGTTAAGGGGACATGATAAATCCAATTTATGAGACGCTGTTAGGATGGTTAACAAGTATTGGAGGCTATCATGAACAAGGGCTGTTTGTCAGAGGTTTGCTTGTATACTTAAGGTTGTGTTCAAATTTACAGGGCTACAATCCTTTGTTATTGAAAATACTCCAAATTTGGCATAACAGTCCCTCCCTCCTGGAGGACTCTTACTTGTTATAAAACTTTATGAAAACTTTTTTTAAAAAAAAGGACTATATAAAGCTTCTACTCCTGTAACTTTTATTCAAGTAGGATTATTCTGTAGACAGTCACTGAGGAAATGAACACCATATTCCCTCATCTTATCAATTAGGTTTATAGACATGAACATTTCCAAATACAATAACCTATTAAAACCACTGCTGCTTAAGTAACAGAGGGTCTCGATTAGCCATGCAAAGTAGGCAGGGCAGACACTGAATGAAGTCAATGACTGACACAACCACCACCAAGCACAGGACCCTAACCATTCATCCATGTGCCATCTGAAAGCACCTTCCCTTCTCGTCAGGGTACAAACATGAACTGAACATGATGCATCCCCAAGGAAGCAGAGAGAACAGCACTGTGTATAGTGAGAAGAAGGTCAATCTACTTGACAACTGTTAGGGGAAAACTTACCAAAGAATTCCCTGGTGTTTTTATCACTGTGCTGGAATTCTGGGCTGCAAACCTTGAATATTTCTCAGGAAGCTTTCTTTTTGGCTTGGAGAGAAAGGCATATACAAAGGCACACATATTGAGCTGTTCTTAGTGTGTATACAGAGGCATACGAGGCCACTCTGCAAATAATGCAGTTTCAAATAGTTGTCTTTTAAGAGTATTTTTGTACATTTTAGTGTTGCATATTAAAAATCTAAAAGCTAAAATAGAATTAATTCTTACTTCCTAATGCCAAAAATACGTAGACATCAAATATATTCTACATAGCGTCCTGTAAAATGAGTTCAGTGAACTGTAGTGTAGAAATCTGCAGGGAGGTGTTGTCCATGTTGATTACAGGCACAATCTAACACCCCTACTAAAAAGTAACAAAATCATCCAGTTTTGGAAGGATGCTGTACTGACTTTGTGCCTCAGAATGGAGCTGGAAATGACCTACTTGGAGCTATTTACTTGTACAAAATGTAGCAGAGTAAGAAGGATTTGCTGGTACCTGTCACTACTAAACCCTAACTGATAACAAAGCTAAAGGCAAGAGCAGGATACTGATCAGCAGAGGAGGTTTACTCCTGGCTTTAGGACAGTCAAGGAGAACAGAAAGGAAACTCTTCTGGGAATGGGAAAATCAAACGTGAACTATACTGCAACTGACTTTGCAGGAGGCATCTATATTTGAGCTTTTTGCTCCCCCTGGTGAAGTGTTTTGGCAAGATGTTCAACATGAGCATTGCCAGTCGTTACGGTGATCCACAGCCACCCACAACGTGTGTTTCTGGAAAGACCCAGAGGATGTGTGGGTCTGTGCTGAGGGTGCCAGCGCTGTGTCTCAAACGCTGCCTCCTCGTGAC